GTTACATTGTGTTGTTTAAGTGTTCCCTTTATTTTTTTTGAACAGTGTATATCAGAGAATTGGCTGTCCAGTCTTTTCAGTATTGGAGCACCCAGAACTTCTGGAGACAAGCAGTTCCACTGGTTAATTGTTCTCACCTGTGGTGTGTTTCAAAGTTGTCTACCACTGGTTCGGTGGGTGTGGCTTGGTGGGTGCGCTTTACGCACATGCACACACTTTGTATGTGCACACCAAACATGCACTTTGAGCAGGTGCAGAATCATTCCAACTCACTTCCTGAAAGCCTGCACTTTCCTGGTAGCTTCAGCAGCTGCTGTGCAGCATTCTGCTGTACCACGCAAAGCAGCTGTGCTTCAAAAGCAGGGAATAAAGGTGAGTATGGGAGCCCGGGTGGGTGGGCCCAACAGCAGAACGGTAGAACCAGTTCAGTCTCCACTGCTCATCGATGCTACCAGCTCGGCAGAACAGGGCCAAACCGGTAGAATACCACCACTGGTTCTCACTGTCAGCAGTTTCACCGTCGTTTTAGGTTGCTTCTCTATTTCTCCAGTTTCCATCCATTGCTTCTTGTTTGCCTTCTGGAGCTTTGGAAAATACATTGGCCCCCCTTCTTTCTGGCAGCCTCTTAAAAGCCTGTTGCCTATCACACTCTTGGGCAAAGCATGTGAGCCATTTCCTCCTTTCAGTGGTCCATGAAAGTACATCTATAGTATGTAGATAATAAAGTCAAAAAAAGATGAACAACATTTTTACAGAATTATAGATATGTTGAGGCTGGGTGTGGCAAGGAATGGCTGGGAGGGGAGGGGTCAGGCGAGGCACCCCTTGATGTTAGTGACATTGAGTTGGCCACACCCACCAGTCACATGACCACGAAGCCATGCCCACCCAGTCACATGACCACCAAGACATGCTCACCAAGCAAGCCACGCCCACAGAACCAGTAGTAAAAATTTTGAATCCCACCACTGAATGGATTGAATTCCCCCATAAAAGGAAAACAAACCTTTACCAAACTACAAAGATTAAAATTGGATATAATTTGGCTTCAAGAAGTGCACATTAAAAAGCAATACAGTAACCTATTGGAACACCCTAAAATAGGGAAATTGTACTCATCATTAGCACATCAGAAGAAGAGGGGTAAGTACTATATATTAAAGAATCATTAAAAACAAAACAAATATATGCAGATGGAAGAAGGGAGAATACTAATAACGGAGGTATTAATAAACCAGAAATAAATTCTTTTGATTGCAATATATGCCCAAATAATCAGCAGGAAGAGTTCTACAAAATACTTCATAAAAAGATAATGGAAATGGACTAGGAAAAAATGATTACAGAAGCAGCAAAAGAAATTAAAAAAACAAGAAGAATGCTTCCAAAAACCTTCTCCGACACGATACAAGAAATGGGCCTGCAGGACATCTGGAGAGAGCTTAGCCCAAAGACAAATCAATATACATTTTACTTGAATAGACATCAATTTTGGTCGAGAATAGACATGGTGTGGATGACTCCAGGCATAAGGGTGGTAGAGTGGTAGAGACAGTAACAAACACATGGGCAGATCACAATCCTATAAAAATTGCATGGAAGGGACAAAAGAAGAAATTGAGATAGACAATGAATCAAACTATCCTAAAAGATAAAGAGTTGGACAAATAATGGAAAAAGAAATGAATTTTTTAAAAAAGAAAATAAAAAAGAGGAAACATCACTATAAAATGTTTGGAATATGGAAAAAGCATATATGCATATATATATGCATATATGTGTGTGTGTGTGTGTGTGTGTGTGTGTATGCATATATGTTTCTTCTTGTTATGCATATTAGCAATAACATGCATAACAAGAAGAAACAGGAAAAAGAAACAACAGCAAAATATGTTATGAGTTTAAAAGACTAGAGGGAGAAGTGCAGAAGGATCTGCAAAAAAAAACAAGGCAAAAGAGAAAAGCGATTTAATAAAACATAAACTGAATTTAATAGTGCAAGAGGAAATGGTGCAAAAAATTAAAACGGCAAAACAAAACCTTTTTGAACATGCAAATAAGCCAAGGAGATTGTTAGCATATAAATTGAAAAAGGAAAATGACACACTAATTATTAGATGAAAAGGGGATCCTTCATGATCAGAATTAAGGTAAAAAGAAAATAGCTCAGGCATTCTTCAGGAAATTGTACAGTCAAGAAAAAAGGCCAGAAGATACAACTAAACAATATTTGGAAAAAGCTGCATTACCTAAAATACTGGACACAATGAAACTAATGTTGAATGAAAGAATAATAACAGAAATAATGAAGCAATTAAAAGGCAAAAAACCCCATAAAACATCTGGACCAGATGAACCTCCCACAGAACTATAAAATCTTATAAGAGATACTAGGACCAATACTGTTAAGAGGTTTACAGCAAAGCACTATTAAAGGCCAAACTCCCCAAAACCTGGACAGAAGCATACATTACACTAATTTCAAAGACCCAGATTTTCAACAAATAAAAAATTATAGGCCAGTATCATTACTAAATGTAGATTACAAAATATTTGCTTCTATAATCTCCAAAAGACTAAAGAGATTTTTAAATGAATTCATACATCCTGACCAGAATGGCTTCTTACCTAAAAGACAACTGAAAACATGAGGATTATTATGAATGTATTGGAATATAATGAAATCCACTCTGAAAAATAGTCAGCATTAATTTTTTTAGATGCACAAAAAGCCTTCGATAATATGGACTGCAGTTTATGATACTACAACTGAAAAATATGAATTTCAGTAAAAACTTTGTAAAGATGATTCAAGCAATCTATTCCAACCAAACAGTGAAAGTGATAATAAAAGGAGAAATAACAGAAAAATTTAATATAAATAAAGGTACAAGACAAGGGTGTCCACTATCCCCCCTTCTATTTATATTAACGCTGGAAGTTTTACTTAGACCAGACGAGACTCAGAAATAAAAGGCTTGAATATAAAAAAAAGAACAATACAAACTACAAGCATTTGCACGACTTAGTATTCATCTTGGAAGAACCTTTAGAGACAGGACCCAAATTAATAAAAAAAATTGAAGAGTTTGGTGCGGTGGCAGGATTTAAAATAAAACAAGGAAAAGACCAAAATATTGACAAAGAACTTTACAAATAAATAAAAAATGAACTGACGGAAAAGATGGGCATACGGATAACTAAAAAACTTAAATACCTGTGAATTTGGCTAACAGCAAGATGGCACATCGATCAAAGAAGACAAAGAAGCAAATAAAGATAGATCTGGATAAGTGGAAAAACCTACAGCTGTCACTGGTTGTAAGGATAGCCACAACAAAAATGAACATTCTACCGAAATTGCTATGTTTATTTCAAGCAATCCTGATAAAATTAGGAAAAAAGATGAGGACCTAAATAGATTGGTTTCTAAGTTCATCTGGCTGCGCAAAAAAACCAAGAATTAAAATGAAAATGCTACAAGACACCAAAAACAAATGGTGGGTTCGGGCTCCTGAATTGGGAGCTGTATTATCAGGCTTCAATACTCACATGGGGAAAGGAGTGGATAAATTTAAAAAATAAAAGAATTGACGATAGAAGGACTTGATCTACAACTGGGATGGCACACATCCGCATGGTACAGGAAAAATAAATCTCACCAATACTTCCAAAGACACATTAGAAATGCTCTGTTGTCAGTATGGGAAAAAAAAATCAAACAGAACCACTATGGTTCTCTCCTTGATTAGTTTCTATCCATTGTTTTTTGTCCTGTCTTCAGGTGCTTAGAGAATATCTTGATCCCCCTTCCTTGTGCCCCTTTCATGAAGTAGCTGCTAGATGCCAGAGGCTTTCTTCCCCAGATAATACATAGCAGTTTCCTCATGAGCCTGGAGCTAGACTTTGCATTGAGTTGCAGCTCAGGAGCTTCTTGCAGCCCCAGAGTGATGGCATGCCACGTAGCCCTTGAGCCGCAGCATATTCTTTTTCTGGCCTCCTTGATCTCATGCTGCACTTCAGCACTTCCCAACTTGCATGCAGCTTGCACTGGGCCTTCCAGGGCTTATGTGCGTCACAACCCACTTGCTACTTAATGATCCACAAGTTGGGGCAGCTGGCACTGTAGGGATTGCTGTTGCCAATGGTATCATGTTTTAATTACTTTGCTAAGCAATGGAAATTACAGCCCCAAATGTGGTTGAAATGCCTTAATGCTTCATTGTCACTTACTGACACTATTCATTTCTGCATCCCAAATCTTTATTCACTTTATCTTTTAAAATTGTAAGTGGTATGGATCCAATTTATTGGAGCAAAATCTGTGTCCTTAAAGTCACCTTGTAGAAGGGGGTGCTTAGAGCTGGCCTGCAGGATTGCCCTGGAAACAGCGAAGGTCCAGTCTATGGTGCCTCTGCTAGCGAAAATGGAGCTCAGGAAGGCTGGGCACAGCCGTCCCAGGTTCTGTTTTCAGCTGCGACAGCCTCCTGCAGCCCCCTGCCAGCAAAAACAAAGCTGGGGGGAGGGGGAGGAGCCCATTTTAGCTGACAGAGCGCTCGGGCCACCACAGGCGCCAACACAAGTGATGTCATGCCGGCTATGCCCACCCTGGCCCCCTGAAGTCAAACACAGCCCTGATGTAGCCCTCAATGAAATCAAGTTTGACACCCCTGCCTTAGAGGGCCAAGGCCCCCGAATATAAATCTGGTTGATAGATTCTCACTGAGCCTTTTAATAATTCTGAATTCTTTCCCAAATGGGCTATGAAAGTTTTTAAACTGGTTACTTGTTTTACCTGTTTATTTCTGATTATTATACAATATTTTAATTATTTTTTTGAAATACTGTTTCCTGAAAGGTGAAGCACAGTATATTACATAATTCATCTTGAAGCATTCGCAACATTTCTACACACACACATTTCCTTTCAGGAAATGCTAGAGTTTCTGCCACTAGAAATAGCTAAGTAGGGGAATTCTGGGAAAATCACCCATGTTTACCTCCACATGATATTTCTTGCGTGCGTTCGACACATTTACTGCAAGGTGTGTTATCAAGACAAAACTGGCAGTACCAGTGAGAATCACATAGCCATATTCTTTGGAGAAAACCACCATTTTGGCCCTATGAAGAAAATTAAAAATAGTAAGTTAGTACATGTTCATTTCAATATACAGTAGGTAAGAGTATATTATCTGATATAAACAGGTAATTATATTACCTATTTAACCTATAAGACCAAAATAGAGGCTGATTTCTACAGGTTAGCACTTCTGATGCTTGTTCTTGGGCCCATCATTGTCAAATCCAACAACAACTTTTCCCTATCTTGAAATAACTTAAACCTTCCTAGAGAAAGTTTTAAAGGCACCACAAGAAAACAGAAACAAGGCAGCTTTGGGGTGATATTTACATCTCTTCTATGTAGCTTCGTTATATCTCCTACAGGAGAAAACATATGTACAATCTTTTAAGGTATTTTGATAGATTTGAAAGTATATAAATTTCATCACTGGGAAGCTAAGAGTTCCGTGTTCTTTTGATTAACACCACTAATTTTGAAAAAAAAAATTCCAATAAGGTAATAGTGTAATAATCATTCTAAATGCTTATGCACAGGAGACAAATTCCTATGTGTCCACTTGGCCAATAAAGAGTATTCCAATATTCCAATATAGGTGAGATGACAATGTACAAGTCCTTCATGAGCTAAAAAATGAGGACAGTCTATTGCAAAATATATCCAATTTGCAGTATTCAGTCATAATTCCAAAGTATTGTCCCAATTCATCTGCCTTTCATAATCTTCAGGTCCTTACATAAAACCAATATAAGTTCTAGTATTTGCTGATACTTAAAGCTGCATCCTCACTGTACATGAAATTGCATTTTATATTATGTGAGCAAAAATATATTTGGTATGAAATTGAATTTTCCTGAAGCTTACTCTCTTACAAATCTCACCAAGTCCTAGGAGCAGTAACCATAACCACTGTGAATACATTCAGTAAAACAAGCAGTGCAAATCCTTGCATCTGAAATGTTTGCAAAGGGAAATTAAAACGGTAGGTGATGAGTTCAAATTCCATCTTACACATGAAAGTGGGCTAGGTGGCTGAACCAATTACTCTCTCTCAGCCCAACCCACCTGACAAAATTGTTGTGGGGAAAATAAAAGGAAGAAAGAATATTAGGTATGTTCAACCCCTTATAAAATAAAGGCAGGATATAAATAAAGAACACTGCAGGCAGCTAATGTTTCCTATGCCTTCTTTGTTTTCTTCTTGATACCCTAGTAACTAAGCAAATTTTCCTTTATGTTGTATTTAAATATGAAATAATTAAAAATGGGGGTACAGAAACACTGATAAAAATAAAAACATAGCAAGTTGCTTTCTCTCTGTAGGCAGTCTTTCAAAAAACAATTCACAAAGCAAAACAGCCCAGCCTCCTCTTATTTTCCTAGTTTAAATTTTTATCATGGTCTTGCTCTGTGCTCTCTTCTGCGCTTCCATATAACAAAAACCAAAAATAGGAAGCCTGACTATCATAAAATTTTAGGTCAATTTTTTCTTTTGCTGGGAGCGCCTGAAATATTATACAAGTTTGGAGTTACTTTCTTGAAAGAAACAATTATGTGCTGCATAAAATTCTAATTTGATGATATTTCGGCTAAAAGATACTTTCCCCCATAGTAAGAAATGTAAGCACGCCATATGTAGCTACAAGCCCTAAACACCTACATCACAACCAAGTTAACCTGAACGAAAGAGAAATTTCTTGACAGTGAGAACAATTAAGTTCCAAAGCCGAGTCCAGAGAGGAAGGATTTGGCCCCCCCAAATGAGTTCCTTTAGGGACAGAAATAAGCAATGGTGGTATCCATATTTGTGAGAAACACACTGCACTCTCAGCAAATACTATTTGAAAATACGGTTGACTAGTCGAGAACAATATGAAAGCGCTCCCTTAGAAGGTTTTGTAAAGAGCAGATAAAGCTAAAGTCTGCAAGGATGATTCCGGTGTAAATTCAAGAGCTCAACCGCCTCAGTCTCAAAGGTACGGCCAGGAGCAATTCCCCCCCACCCCTGGGAGAAAAGGCAAAGAAAGCATGTTTACGACGACCAGCGGTCAGGCCCCCCCCCCACCAGCGGCCTTCAAAAAGGCTCTTTCCCTCCAAGCAGGCAGGGGCTCACCCTTCTCTGAGCTGCTTCAGCAATCAAAGGGCAGGAGGACCGTAGCGGAGCCGTAAAGCAAAGTCACTCTCCCTTTCCTCCTATTATCGGAAAGTCCATCACCTGACCTAGCCAGGGAAAACCTGAAATAGCTCCGCCCCGAGCAGAAACAGGTTCCCGTGGGCATCGCGAGATCGTCCTCTAACTTTAATGTTTGTTCTTAGTGGGTGTTGTGGGTGTTGTTTGCTGTCATTCTGACGTCTGGATTTCTGCAGCTCAGACGTAGACATGCTAGCCTTAGTGGTGGTAGTTTTCCAGTTTTGCAAACCGAGTTAAAACGGAAGGAGGCGAAACAAGTTCTCATAATTCTTTGTTTGCAATACTCCAATTTAACTTCTTTAGAATTTTGCTGTTTCCAGTTAAGAAAAGAATGATATTATATTCCATTTGGGGCATTATAAAGGCAGGATTAACCTCCGGCCTGTTTTGGCTTAATCTTTTTTACCAGCTGTTATTTCACTTATTTGGGATATGTAGCAATTGAGTCTCATCTATGTGTACTATTTGTCTCATCAGATCCATCTTGCACTACATCTTCGTTACTGTATTCTGTTATTAAAGGGGCAAAATTCATGTGCAAATAATAGTGCAAGTTGAGGCACACTTGCAGAAATAAATTTAAAAAATAAATTCACATATGTTGATATTTTTGAGTTATTCTTTTAAAAAATTACAAATCTGTACAACCCAGAGGGATAAAAGCTTTTACACTGAAATCCAAACAAAGGTTCAATTTATTTTATGCATGTAGATAATAAATTCCCTGGTACGCCTGAGTAGTTCAGATTCCTAGATAATCTTCCCTTCAACCCAGTCTGGTTGCATTTCCAGCGCTGTTAGTGCTCTAATGTTGTTTAGTTGGTAATGCAGGGTAATGAAATGTGATCCTTCCATGATAATTGCTTATTTCTCCTTCTATCAGACAGGCTGCTGGTCTGATTACCCTGCCATTCATTCTGTACATCAGGAGTCTCCTCCCACACACACAATTGGCCCAAGAGGATACAAGATTCCTATCAGGATTGTTGGAATATTGCAGGAAACCAGGACTCAGAATGTTCATAGAATCATAGGACTGAAAGGGACCTTGGAGATCTCCTAGTTCAACCCGCTGCCCAAAGCAGGAATCCGTATATACCATCCCAGACAAATAGTTGTCCAATCCTTTCTTGAAAACTTCCAGTGACAGTGCCCCCACAATTTTGTGAGGCAAGCTGTTCTGTTGGTTAATTCTCACTATCTGGAACTTTTTCCTTAGTTTCAGGTTAGAGTTCCATCTGACAAGCTTCTATCTATTGTTCATGTCCTGCCCTCAAGTGCTTTGGAAAATAAGTCAACCCCCACGTCTCTGTGGCAGCCCATCATATACTGAAAGACAGCTATCATGTCACCCCTAATTCTTTTCTTTGTTAGGCTACATATACCTAGTTCCCTTAATTGATCCTCAGGGGTGGGATTCAAAAATCCCAGCAACCATTTCACTGCCCGTTTGCTGGGTGGGCGTGGCCATGGTGGACGTGGCCTACTGGAAGTTCCTATTTCCGGCTTCCAGTGGGCCCCCAGAGCCCAGGGGAGGTCGTTTTTGCCCTCCCAAGGGTCCAGAGGTCTCCCTGAGGCTCCTGAGAAGGTGAAAACAGCCTCCTCCAACCTCTGGAGGACCTCCAGAAGCCAGAAATAGGCCTGCTTTGTGACTTCCAGTTTTTCCAGGTAGGCCAGTCTTCTAATAGTTTCCTGGTGCTTTTGGATTTTTGAAAAATGTGGTACAGTGAGATGACACTGTAGATGACAGATGACATCTGCCAGCTCCTTTAGAACTCTGGGATATAATCCATCAGGTCCCGGTGATTTGTATTCATCAATATCAGGCAGGTGTTCTCTTACCATTTTTTTGCTTATTTTAACTTTTATTTATTTATAAGCCTGTCTTTTACAGTTATATTTTTGGTAGGTTGGGCTATAGTTTCTTTTTGTGTGAAGACCAATGCAAAGAATGAGTTAAGCAGCTTTGCTTTCTCTCTGTTGCCTGTTACTTCCTTGCCATCTTCTTTCTTTAGTGGAATGACAGTTTCCTTGATTTTTTTTTCTTGTTATTTATATGTTGGAAGAAAGGATTTTTATTATCTTTGACTTTTGTTGCAAGTCTTTGTTCATTCTGAGCCTTTGCTCAGAATGTAACCAAACCTTATTATGTGGAATCCTCTTGATCTAGGGAGCAAGGACTTTGTCCTCGCCTTTGAAGACTCTGTTTCCTGTAAGTGATCAATAATTCAATTCAAGTATTCCATCTTGGCACTGGCTACCATCTCCAGGAAAGAAGAGACTTGCCTAGCCAAGCCATTATTCATTTATGTTGAGCTGTGGCCATGGTGGGTATGACCTACTGGAACTTCCGGTAGGGCCGCTTTTCACCTTCCCAAGGATCCGGATGCTTCCCTCAGCCCTTTGGGAGTGCAAAAACGGCCTCCCCGGGCTCTGGAGGCCCTCCAGAAGCTGGAAACAGGCCCATTTCACAACTTCTGGTACTTCTGGTAGGGCCATTTTTCGCCTTCCCAAGGGTCTGAAGACTTCCCTTGGGCCTTCTGGATGGGTGAAAATGGCCTCCCCTGGGCTTTGGAGGCCCTCCAGAAGCCAGAAACAGGCCCATTTCCAGACTTCTGGAAGGCCCATTTTTCCCCCTCCTAGAGCCTCCCCATGGTCCCTGCACTTACCTGCATCAAAAATGGCCCGTGTGGAGACTCCTGGGAGGGAGGGGAAGGGTGGGTGGGGCTATCCAGTTGGTTCAAATAGTAGTTTGGCGAACCAGATGCAAATTTTACATCTGGTTCGCCCAAACCGGTCTGAACCTGTAGAATCCCATCCCTGTGTTGAGCCCCCTGAAGAATGGAACATGCTTTCATATCAAGGGGATATAGTATCCTTCTTTAGAAGATGAAAGGTACTTGATGTTCAGCCTTTTTTTAACCTTTCTCAAGAATACTTTTTTAAAAGTTGCAATAATGAGTGCCTTGAAGAGAGTTGAGCCAATTTTAGGGATTCACTAGAATAATTTTCAGTGCTGGAAAGTAATACAATGCTTTATTGTTAATCATGCATGTTTTCATTCATTGTGGGATGTTATTAAATGTTTATGTTTTGAAGAAATGCACTTAAAAACATAAGAGCAATTCTTTTTATTCAAGTAGCTCCAGTTCTTTGATGAGCATTGCTGCTCTAGGCAGTATTTTTCCCATATTTTTAAGGCTGTGTATCTCTGATGTCCTTGTATATAATCCCATCCTTGGAATCTTTCAATCTGACATTTATTTCACAGTGTAATTCTAAATAAATAAAAATTATGCACTGGGGGCCTTTTGGAAGCAGAACTATAAATATGAAAATGCCTAGATAAAAGTGCAGTTTCTTTTTCCCCAGTTTTCTTGAGATGAAAAGCTCCTTCATTATTATAGTACTGAAATGATCATGATGATGATTGTTGGTTTATAGCTGTGATATGTATGTGGAATACAGTTTATGGGGTTTTATGTAAAAGTGTGATATTTATTTTTAATTGTTTTGACTTTTATTCTGATCCATCTTTTATACCAGAATAAAATAAGTAAAAATAAAAAAACCCTTTACTCTGCTGAATGGGATCTACTTCAGTAGAGTTTTGCTAACATTTACATCCTCATTATAATCTGTTTATACTTTTATACTGAAAAGAAAGTCTCACTGTTCGTTTTATAATCACTGCAACCTTAGTGAATGGGCTGGGAGATATTTACAATAAACATACATGGGTATGTTTAGAGACAAGTTATGCATAGAGACAAGTCATTCTAGTTCTCTGTTTCCTCTTCCTCCTTATCATCTTCTCCTCTGGCAGTTAAGAACTCATAAATCACTGCACATACTCCCATCAGCCAGGCTAACACAGTGCCAGCAGAAAATATACCAAAGCCAACTAATCCCAGAAAGAGATAGTCTTGGTTGCTGAAATGGATGTAGCACTTGTAGTAGAATTCTTCCTGCTTTTCTTCCAGCATTTTCAAGCCATGCATAAAAACAGGGCTGTGGCAGGTGATATTGGCAGGGTCTGCAGAGGAAACACATGAATGACAACAGACTTTGATTTATGTTAGAAATCATACCAATAAAGGATAGTACTCAGAAGGGATACCTATAAGGTCTCAGAATGCATTGTAATTAGTTATCTAAAATGGGAAGATCCGTGAGTTCATTTTCCACTAGAGGATTTGAGCCCCATAGAATAATATATGGTTATTTGCATTTGAAGATTCCCATTCAGAATGAACTGATCACATGATACCTCCTCGTGGTCAATATAACTGAAAACGCCACACAGGATGCTCTCTTTGTAAAAAAATAATAATAGAGAAATCTCTAAAATCCATACATAGGAGTGGCTGGGGGGGGCACTTATTCAAGGTGGATACCATTCTGGGAGCTATGCCTGGAATCTTCATCTTTTACAGGCCTAGCAACTACTTCAAATTTTGTGCTGTCATTCAGAATTCTATATCAATAAATATATTAGCTTCTGTTTTACTCTGCCTTTCCTTTTGAAGCTCAATGTGAAACCACTGAGTGAAGTAATTTGTCAGTTCGAAGTCTAGTATTATCAGTATGCTGATCATACATAGTTGTACAGGTCAGCCCGGGGCTGCTTAGATAGATAGATAGATAGATAGATAGATAGATAGATAGATAGATAGATAGATAGACAGATAGACATAGATGATATAGATATAGATATAAATATAGATATAGTTCTTGAGATCAGGGACTGGTTTATTATTAGTCTTGGATGGGGTTGTACTTTCCATTCAAAACAGGTAGGTGTGCAATGTGGGATCGTCTTGGACTCACAGCTACTGTTCAAGCAGCAGGGAGCAACTGTGTCCAGGAGGGCCTTTGCACACATTTATTTTGTGCATTAATTGTGTTAGATATTTACATACGCACCTCCAATTGGTTGGTCTGGGATGGCGGGAATTTAAATGGTAAAAAGAGTTGCCATGGTTGCGGTCTTTGTTCTGAAAGAAGCAATAAAGGAACTAAGCAGTCAGAGCCTC